ACTGGACAGCAAACCGTGCTCATCCCCCGAGCAGAGAGCACCCAGACACCCGCCGTTCTGCAGCGCTCGTGTCCAGCCGCGGAGCTGGCTGCAGAGGAAAGGCTGAGTCATTTCCACGGGATGTTTCACGGAGGAGCTAAGTGATGCAGGGCTTGGGTCTGAACAGCTCTGTTTCCTGGTGAATAGTAATTCTGTTTACTTAGAAGAGGAAAAAATCACTGGGGGCCTCAGTGCTGCTGTGTCATACCCGACTGGATGAAGTCTTGTTTATCTCAACCTGAAAAGAGAGAGAAGCAATTCTGGTGGCACTTTTCAGAAAATACTTCTCTACTTTGGGGGACTGTAGGCAGTGGAAATAGTCCATAGATTTGAATCCTGAAGCTTTTTTTTTCTGTTTGTTCTGTAAGAGCAGCAGCATGTTACCCCAGCAAGAGCAAGAGAGCCTTGGGAGGGACTCATGACATCCCATGCCAGGCTGAAATCTTTTTGTCACACCAAAGCAGCTTCAGGCTTGTAAATGTAGAGGGGTAGTTTGGGGTTTATGCTGGGCTGAGTGAGGTCTGGAGCTGGCTTGTGACTTTTCTTCTGGTCTCAATGTTCATGCAGAATTTGTTCTGCCCAGCATCTACCTATTTATATAGAACCTACTATAAATCTTTCGATACTTGTTTATAGGGGAAGAGGAAATAGCTGAATATGCTGTTTAGTCTGAAGATGGGATGGTTTAACCAAAGGTGCTGGCAGTAAGTTCCTGCTTTATGGCAACACGTCGTGAGAATCGTTAATGCTTCTACGAGGCACAGAGGAGCTTGGGTCCCTCAGTGAGTCACACGTTGGGCTCACGTGCCAATCACCAGTGCACTTGAACAGGGAGCCGGAAAGTGCTGTCTCTCCTCCACCTGTTCCCTTCTCTGACAGCAATGCTGCACTGATACGCCGCTCTGCGCTCGATCGCATCTGTTGACGTTCATGTGCCGAAAAAGCACAGGCCGTCAGCGGTGGGGGGAAAGGAGTTCCTCTGCTCGCAGGCTGCAGCTGGCACCGGGCGTGCTGCAAAGCTGCGGCGGCTTGTCAAAACTTGCAGCTTGTTTCATGACAGTGAGTTCTGGAACTGGCTTGTGATTCTTCATCTGGTCGCGATTTCTGTGCAGCGTTCATTTTGCTCAGCATCTACTTGCTTATCTAGGACCTACTATAAATCTTTTGCGCTCGGGATGGATTCAAACTCATGGGAAACAGCAGTGGTCTGGGACCTGCCACAGCACAAATGGTTCGAGGAGGGTGGTGAGAAAACCAGAAGTTTTGCCCTTTCCTCTAATTTGGTGAAACAGCCACCACTGCTGTGGTCTGGGCCAATGATGCGGGTTTGATGCCTTTTCTTGCAGGAGCCAGGCAGCAGGGGCAGAACACACTCCGTTGGTTGAAAACCATGTCCTGCGTTAGTCGAAGAGCCAGTCCTGGTTTGGGGGGGCATGGTACCAAATTGCAGGCTTTACTTTTGCCCAATCCAGGCAACTTCTGGAGGTTCAAGTACATTTTAATGGTCAGAATCATGGAAATAATTATCAGCATAAACTCAACAGATGACTGGAAGGAAAAAATATAAATCAAAAGCAGGTGAGATCTTTGTCTGCTTGAAAACAGTGGAATTGCTGCTGGGTCAGATCCCAGCTCCAGGTAGATCATGGCGCTGTCTCTGACAGTAACTGTAAAGTCTGTCCCATGCTGATTTCTTAAGAGATGCTTAATTATTGATTGAAATGGGGCTGGCAATTTACTCTTCAGCTTTAAGTGTGCCCCATTACAATAATCACATACAAAGAAAGAGGACGGATGTTCAAGGAGTGTCTGGTTGTCTTCTATGTTCAAAAAGGCACTTGGAATGTTATTTTATTTTATTTTACCTTTTTAGCATGGTGGGGAGTGAACAGCTCTTGCTGTTCAAAGAAAATAAAGCTGTTCCTTGAGATTTTTATATCTGTAACACTGAAGTAGTCCAAAGACTGGTTCTGTACCAAAGTCGTTTTCCCAACAAGATCTTCATTTTCATGTGCCATTTATAGTAAATGAAGACATGTTTGTAGGAGTACCGATAGATGGAGAGGTTGATCATGCAAAGAAACTGGAGGACTGTTTTTTGAAACTTAAATCTGATTATGCATATATGCTATTTTTATTCCTCTCTTTAGTTATCTGTCAAGGAACATTTGTGCAAATGAATTTTCATTATGGATTTTAAGCATGCAGGCTGGAATGCTGGCAGAAAGATATCCTAAATACTGCTTTTATATACTGCTTTTCCCCAGAATTTTCAAGGTTAGCCAAATTCTGACTTCTGGTTGGTCATTGTGAAAATGAAATACCATCTGACCTATAGGACAGATCACAATGAAGCAGCTTTACTTTGATCTGAAGATCAAACGCTGCTTTCCAAATTGGGAATACTTATAAAGTAACGGGTGAGTCTCAGGAGAAACAAGTCTCACTCATGACTGTACTGGAAGTGGAAAGATGGCAAAATTCATAGTATGTTACCGGTGAGTTGAGTAGGATGAGTTATTACTAATAATATCCAACTGGCTGTCTCTTGGGTTGGATTTCACATGTCTTATGTGGACTGGCAGATGAGGGTAGTGGTGGAACTTGTGAATTACAGTTATTTTTACCCTACTGTTTAACCCAAATAAGGAATTAGGAGTATTTATTTAATATGTATATGTGGATACCATGAAGTGCCTCATAAGCAAAGGTGAGTGTGCATATATACCTATACCTGTTGGTGTACATGTATACATGTATTTCTTGCAGGAAAGAGGTATTGTGGATGGGTATGATGGGCTGCCAAATTCAATATACCATGTCAGCTGTCGAGGTCTCAGGCTGTGATGGCACACGTTGTACTTTCAGTCAGACATCATCTTAAAACTTGTGCATTACGGGCATTTTGGTTATTCAGGCCTGGCCACACAACATGTTTTATTGGGGCAGAAGTTCCCAGTTGGAGGAAACAGATTTGGACCCATTGCGAGCTGTTTCTAGTCCAGGGAAGGACTGTAACGTTTGCAGATGAATAGTGAGCTGCTTTTGAATTGGGCTCTTTGAAGTGAAGATATTGGGTGGCATGGTTTCCGCTGCACTTGCCTGGGCCCGCAGTGTGCAACCCCAGGGAGGGAGGAGAGGACCGCGTGGCTTTACCCAGGGCGTGTGGAGGAGAGGAAGAAGGGGCAGGTATCCTGAGAAGCCTGGCCGAGTCTGAAAGCGCACGAGAATCTGGTGCTGTCACACCAACCCGCCTGCATCGGTTCTGTCTCAATAGCCCCAGGGGAGCCCTGGGGCTGGCCCAGGGCATGCAGGACGCAGCTCCCAGGCTTGGGTGACTGAAGCCTGTTGCCATCGCAGTCCCCGCTGAGCTCAGCTCCTGCAAGGAACCAGCCCACAGCCTCCCCCTTCCCACTCACGGGACATCCCACCCTGCCTCAGTGCCTGTGAATCCCCTCTGCCTCGGGGATAAATTCTTTCAATAGTTGTTTGCCTTGAGGGCTGCAAATCTCTGTTTTGTTTCCAGCCTGAATTGGCTTTATTTTAGGCTCCAGCTGTTGAAAGCACGCTGAAGAGCAGGGGCTGGGTTGCAAAGGCACCCCCAGGACCTCCTGCTTCCCGTGTCCTGGGGCATGGATGTGCGCGGGGTTCGGCGTCCGCTGTGCAGGGCATTAACCAGGCTCTGGCACCAGACTCTGCTCCCCACGTCGTGGCACCGCTGCATCTCCCTGCCCTGGTACCACCGCAGCCTGGCCCCCACTTAACCAGGGGTGAATAAACCCAGCTGGCATGAAAGCCTGGCCTCGGGGGACACAGAGGCACCGTGGGGGGACGAAGGGAAGAGGGAGAACAAGGCAACGACAAGGAAATTGCTCTCTCTGAGGATTTTCTAGTCTCTGCTAGAAAACTGGAGCTGAGTGCAGGTGGGGAGGGGAGGAAAGGCAAGAGAGGCAAAAGCCCTCCAATAAATCTCTGAGGCAGAGAGGGGGCCGTCCTGTAAGGCTGAGGAAAAGGCAGGGGGAGAGCTAGGGCTGGAGCTGCCCTCCCTGCTTCCCCGACCCACCGGCCCGCTGCCGGGCAGGTGTCCCCACTCGGCTGCCGAAAACCCGGTGCCAGCTATTTGCTCATCGCGGTCACGTTTGTTTGGGTGTCTGCGCCTCCCCAGGAGGCGGCTCTGGCAAAAAAACAGGTACCCGCAGCCCGTGGGTCCGGTAAGGGTGGGCAGCTGGGGTTGCACCGGCTCCCACTGCCCACCCTGAGCCCCTGCCTGCACCCGGGGAGGGCGGGGGGACCCCCCTCCGCAACTCTCCACGCAGAGAACCAGCGGGCAGGTCTGCCGCTCGCTGCCTTGCCTGGGAGAGAAGGAGGAGGAGGAAGAGGAGGAGGGTGGTGATAAGGGGCTTGCTGCGTCGCCTCATTTCTGTCCCCAGCGCACAGCATCCGCTGCCTGAGGACTCCTGCTGCGGCAGTCTCGGCGCTGAGCTGCCGGCGACCGGGCGGGCGTCGGGGGAAGCTCTGGCTGTTTACTGTCTGGTGACAAGTGTTGCAATGCAAAAGCCGAAGGAGTCCCTGGAAGGGAGGCTGTGCTGGCAGCGGTACCTGTAAGGAGGGGAAGAGGCTTCCCGAGGCATTCGGCAGCGGAGGCTCTAGGCATCGGCACCTCCTCCCAGTGTCTCCATCGCCACTTGCTTCGGATCTCTTCTTAAGGGAGAAGAGGGGGGGGAAAAAGGATCCAGAAGCCCCCTGCAGCTGGACCAGCCCCTGCTGGAGTCTAACAGGTGTTTGCTGGGATTTCAATGGGGAGGGGACGAGTGGGGAGAAAAGTTAACTGGAGAAATCGGGGCTAGGAGAGATGCGATGATCTTGCACCAAGTGGATGTGCCATGTCTGCATGCGAATAGCGCGCCTGGAGAAGCTCGGAGGGATGTCTTGCGAGTGATCTGCTTGATCTCCGTAGAAACGCTCACCTCTGCCTGCAAACTTTCCCCTGCCAGAAGTTGGGAGGAATAAAAAAAGCATCAGAAAATCAAAAGGGGAAGATCTCAGCGGACAAAAACGCTTGAGCTAAACTGTTGCATCCCGACCCGGGGCTCCGGTGCGAGCATCCTGCCGGTGTCTCCCGGGCTCCCGAGCCAATTGGCAGCGGGTGGCGTTGGCCAAGGCGCCCGGCAGCGTCCCCGGCATCGGGGACGGGCCGAGCAGCATGCTGGCTGCGGCGCCCGCGGCCGGCGAGCAAACCCCGCGTGCCTGACCCGTTGGTGGTGCCGGGGCGGTGGCGGCCATGGCTGCAGCCATCGCCAGCTCCCTGATCCGCCAGAAGAGACAAGCCAGGGAGCGGGAGAAGTCCAATGCCTGTAAGTGTGTCAACAGCCCCAGCAAGAGCAAGGGAAGCTGCGACAAGAACAAGTTGAATGTGTTTTCCAGGGTCAAACTCTTTGGCTCCAAGAAAAGGCGAAGAAGGCGACCAGGTTGGCAAGGGTTATGTCTTTGGGGGTCGGTTTGTTTAATTTAATGCAAACTGGGATGCGTATCGGGCGTGGGGAAAGGGGAATGGTGTCTCAGGGCTGGCAAAATGAACGCGCAGGTATTGCCACTCCTGGCTTTTACAATCTGATAGACGTGGGTACCTTATGCCAGTCCCTTCCCCTTTCATGTTCATCTGGTTTATTTGGATAACACACACCGTTGCTAACTGCCTCACTTGCACACCCTTGTGCACCCGTGTACCGGTAATTCAGTAGTCTTGTCTCTCTGTTACACATACACGAACACACGTGATTTATCTGTGGGGGAGATGTTAGCAGGGGAAGTTCCCACACATACACCTCCTTCAGTTGTATGTTAAATAACTTAGCGGTCTAGAGATCTGTTTTTGTCTTCCTGCTTCATAGAATGCCTGTGCCATGCTTTATTTGCTGATTGCAGACGAGGCTTTTTGCTTTTGCTGGCATCTTCCAGAGTTTTGCTTCAGCGCCCTGTTCCTTTCTAGGAATCTCATACATGCAGCTGCCCTGCAGATACGATGCTCTCTGTGTCAGAGGTGCAAAAGATCAGGCATGAAGACTCAGTCCCTGATCTGAGTGGGGGTTTTGTATGTGGGAGGAGCAAAACCCTCTGGTAATGTTGCTATCCCTTTGCTGTGCTGAAACATTGATGCCCTTAGCCACTTAACCTGTCTGCCTTTCTCAGCAGCCATGGAAGAGGTGCCTCACTCGCAGTTTGCCAACAGCTTTGGGATGTATTATGGCTAAAAAGCCAAAGTGGGGACTGGATTAATTTCTTGTCAGAAAAGTTGGTAGATAAGAATTGTGCATCCGTCAGTACCCTTATCAAAGGTTGCTAATAGGAACTAATATACTTATGCAAACTGTTGTAAGCCTTTGCCTTCAGCTCCTACTAAAATGACGTACAGCAGCAGAGCTCCCTAATGTCTTTGATTACAAACACAAGGAGTCTTATCCAGACATTGGCTCTTGGAAATGACACATCATATCTTCACAGGATGTTTATCTCTGAATTAAGTAAGTTGTTGTGGAGTGAGCTGCGGAGATGCATTGCCTCCTGACAAGCATAACTGTGTGAAATGACTACAATGCAGATGTCATTGGGATTCAGTGGAAGTAGACCTTTTTTGCAATTACTCCTGGTGCATTACCTAGATATCTTAAATGACAGACTTGACAGCAGATCTGTTGCTATATACTTTTTGGTCTAGAATGATCTGAAACTGGATGAGATATCTCACTTTCTAACTGTGAATCTGAGGATGGTTATGAAAAAAGGAAATCTATCCAAACTATGCGTTGTTTTGATCTTTCTTCTTCTAGCTGATGAGGTAATTACCTCAACCCTTATGGTAATATTTATTTTGCAGTTTGACACATTGCTGGATTTCAGGGTTCCCCCCTCCATTTTCCATATGTTCATTGAGTAGTTTATCACTTCGGATGCTCTGTACTCTTTGGAGCAGTGAGGAATGGGGGTTTGTTTATTAGAACTGCAGCAGTTCCTGTGCTAAACGTTTGCTGCTATATATTTAGGCTCTCAACTGTCACTGTGGCTCTTATTAGCGCTATCATAGTAGTCCTCTTTTTCCTCTCCATTTAAGAGCTCACACCTTTTTAAAGGGCAGAATACGCTCTTTGCCAGCTCATTTCTAATCTTAAATGAGATAGGGCTGAGCTCCTGAGGCCAAGAAGCACGCTGTTGGAATTTGTATTCACTGGACCTAGATTTTACTGTGCTACCTACCTTGCAATTGAAAGTGGCATTTAATCATTTTGGCAATTGATTTCATAGACATAAATTTGATCTCAACCTAAATGAAAAGTGTTGCAAAGCTGGCTGCCCTGCTTTTGTTTTGGGTCTTTTTCATATCTCAGCCTTGAGAAGAAACCCACAGATTTGTTTTTAGCATCCTGCTCGCTTGGAACGGCACATCAGGATTTCCCACATTAATCTCACTATTGTTTTTTTACAGAGCCTCAGCTTAAAGGTATAGTAACAAAGCTATACAGCAGGCAAGGATACCACTTGCAGTTGCAAGCAGATGGAACAATTGATGGAACAAAAGAGGAGGACAGTAGTTATAGTAAGTGACATGAGAATCAATGGTGTGTTTGTGAACTGTGGTGTCTTATTCTTCCCATCTAGGTCCGTTCAAAATTGTTGTCCTGGGATGACTGAGTGAGTGGAAGCGGCATTGACACTGTGCTCACAGCGCAGAAGTCTTTCAGACTTACTGGGTCTGAGAGAAATGCAAATAAAAATCACTTATAGAAATAATGAACCAAAGGAGGTAATGATGACACATATGACAAACAAAGCAAATGTTATCTCCATGGTAATCTAGAGAAGTTCATTGCTGTCCTTTGGATTTTATTAGACTTTTTTTTTTTTTCAACAGGGAAAATTTGCTCGCCTACTCAGTGTGCCTGAAATAGAATAACGCTATCTCCACTCTTAAACAGGGGCTCATTCAAACAAAGCCATGTTATTTTACACAATGAGAGTTCATCATAATTTTAAAGTTCACATTTCCCTATTATTATTTTTTTGTACCCCTTCTGAACTTAATTATACCTTCAGCTTTCAAGCAGATTTCCCTCAGCTTTTCTGTGAAAAAGCTTTGGATGTTTTGGGTTTGGTTTTTTTACAACTTCAAGAATGGATAGAAAACAGGAAGAGATGACTAGACCATAGATTTGGTGTGTGTAAATAAAATATTTAAGAGTTTCGCATAGTTGTACTGTTTAGCTAAACTACGTTTCTGTTCTAAAAAAAAAGTTAGGCCGTGCAAGGAGTTTGAGAAGGTATTTCAGGCCACTTAGACAACAAACCATAAAATCCAACAGGCAGACATTCCTTTTAATTATTAAAAAGTGCTGATTTAAGTGCCATCCTCTTCATATGAAAAGCATTTGCAGGTGAAACATCATTTCATTTTGCAGGGCCCTTGAATATTGCAGAGTAAGCACTAGATGCAGTAGGAAGTAGCATATCGTAGTTGTCCGATCGCTTGCTCTCACCCTTTTCCCGCACCCTCTTTAATCCTTTTGGTATCCCTGCGTTAACTTCTGAGTGACAGAAGGGAACTGGTAACGCCGCTGGAGGAGGTTTCTGCTGCAGCCATGGAAGGTGCTGGCCTTGGGGCAGCGCACAAGCGTGGGATCTGTAGGGACACCTGAGGTCTGGCTCCAGGTCCCGTCCTCACCCACGGAGAAGGTGGCACAAAGACCGGATCAGCGCAATGCTGAGCGGCTGCTGCCATCTTACTGAGTTCTCCTCAGTGCAGCCACAAAATCTACTCTAAGAATGATCCTTATGGACCTTAAACATTGACTTTTCTTTCAAGTGAATGATCTAATATTTATGATTTCAAAAGTCAGTACAGATCGTTCAGGATTGCAGGGTAATTCTGTTCATTATCTTAAAGAAGAAGAAATAGGCAAACCTTACTTTTTACATCAAAGTGTGATGTTGTTATAAACTTTTAATATACCAGAGCACATATCTGAAATTCCATCTTTCTTTTTTTTTTCTGATTGTTTCATTTAAATACTTTGCTTGGCATCCCTCTAATAGGGATTCTGAGATTTGAAACAAGATAAAATTTATGGAAATACAAATGTGTCTGTTTCTAAGATACCTTTGTTTTCACTGCATCCTTAAATTTACCATAACCTATTAGATTACAAAGCAAATCATAAAAATTCCTTGTCGCTGGATACCAGCCTTCCAAAATGCTGAACACTTAAATGTAATGGAAGTATCCCAGAAATGGTTGCAGCTGGGCTGCAGTATCTAAGCGTTCAGAACAGAGGAGGGTTTTATCATAAAAAACCCACACGCTTTTGTATATATTCCTGTTTTATGTAAGGTAAGTGTATGGACCTGAATGTCCTGCAGTCCTGAATTTATTTTAATGGCAATATTTTTAATGGAGCTAGTAAGACAGACTGATTTATACTGTGGATCAGATCCTATATAAGGGGCTTCCCCCAAAGCCTTGCTCACATGAATGTTAAGTGATCAGGCCCTCTCAAATCCTTTCTTCCAATATCTGCAGAGACATCTTTCATTTAGCCCATATCCGTGCACTGTGGGGAAGCCACAGGAGTTGTAGCCCACTCCAAATGCAGGAGGACTCCTTCTCCAGTCCGTTCTCTCCTCCTTTGCACCCCTGAGGGATATCATTGCTGTTCCCTTTTGTCACCTTCACTGAACATTTGCTCTAAGACCGTTTGCTTTGCAGTGCAGCGTGATAATAAAAACTCCCCTTAATAGTAAGAGGAACATCCTCAAATGCAGCTGTGGCCAGCAGAGCGGTTGCACAGCACTAGGACTCTGCAGCTGCATTTTTTTAGAGCAAACCATAACCATAGTCCACCTGATCTCCAGCCAGAGCATTAGTCAGCCTTGTTTAAATTTCAGAATTTGTCTTCCCTGTTTACAGTAGAGATGGGGAGAGGTTGCAGCCCCTTATAGCCAGCTGCTGTTTAGGGCTCCTGACAGCATCTTGGGCCCAGGAGTCTACCTTCTCCATCATTTTCTATCTAGAGCTGAGTGGGATGTTTGCCTGAAGATCCCTTTCGGCTTCTGACTTGGGAGCAATTATTTCAAGCTCTGCAGACCCACTGCTGCATGCAGGGTTCACAAAAACAAGGTTGCATCCACAATTGCAGAGAGTTTAAAAGAAAGCTGAGATTTTGGAGCACAGTTTAGGCAGGAAATGAAACATGGACTTGAGGAGCCATACCACTCACCAGACCTCAGTTTTAGCTAAGAGTCCGTGTGATTTGAGGAGGTGATTTCCTGGCTGAGAAACAGATTTTGACTCATTAAATGTGTTAAATAGGGCAAGGTTTTAAATCAAGGCAAAATTTACTCCCCAGTTTTGGCAAGACAAAGAGATTTCAAAACTTATAAAATAGGGAAATACAGGAAATTATATCCTGCAGAAAGCATACAGAGATCCAGGTGGCCAAGCCAAGGATGGCAGAGACCTCACACTAAAGTATATGTTCATAAATCCAGCTGTGGCCCACTGCCTCTTATTTTGCAGCTCTAGTTCTCTGTCGGCTTGTATTGCACAAGGGCTATAGTAAAGATCATTTCTCCCTTAGGCATCGCCAAGTTTTTCATTACGATGGCTATTACATCCTTATTTTAAACAGCGCAAATGTAATAGGGAAAGGCTAGGATGCAAATAACTTTCCATTATTTTATGCTAACACCAACTGATCACAGTAGCAAGCAATTTATTTTCCTGTGGCTTTTTTGCCACCCTTTCTGTCATATCTGCTCACATGAGAGTCGACCCCTAGAAATGCGATAGCATCTCAAACCTGTTGTCCGTGGCATTGGGGGCTGCGTGGCTCTGCTGTTGGCCCCTTCAGCTTTCGCTGGTCATGGACAAGCCACTCGCTGTTGCAGAAGCCAGACTCGGACTTGCTGCTGCGCGAGGACGGTGGGAGCAACAGCTGGTGCTAAAGGGGACGGTTCCCTTTTTTGGTGCAGTGCCAACGTCCCCTTGCCTTGGAGGCGGCAGCTGGGGCAGCCCGGCTGTGTGTCTGGCTGTGCCGGCGTAGGACGGATTGACCGCGCACCCTTCCGACAGCCGGTCCCTCTCCCCTTCGGCAGAGGCCGTCGGCAGCAGAGCCAGCGTTACTCCCCCGCAGCCCTTTTGCAACTTCCGATCGTCTGTGCCACGGCAGCTGCTAATCCCACCGATGTCTAAACCAGCTTCTGAGCGTGCCCAACCCTCGTCTTGCTTCAAAATAGAGCATGTACGTTTATGGCAGGGAAACGTGTTCAGCTGTTGAGGGAAGCAGCTGAGCACCCATCTCAGTGGGTGCCCCAGCCCTCCCCTGGCAGAAGTCGCTCAGCCTCGTATCTCTGCTCACTCTGCCAAGCACAGCACAGCCGGGAATCGCTCGCTAAAACCTCTCTCCGTGGCTTGTGGCCGTGAGCTGTGACTTCTCAACCCTCCCAGGCTTTGCCCTGTCCTCAGCCGGTTCGTAGCACGATTTACAGTGGAGCCCATACTCATACCCTTGTGCTGAAAATAACCAAATGCTTGCCCTACTCATAAATATGCCATTAAGAAAGCACCTTTCAAAACAGAGCTCCAGGTTCTGCCTGGATATTGAGCTTTAAATTGTGCTCTCCTGCCTACACGGAGATCAGATGCTTTTTGGGGTTGAACTGCAAAAGAGGGCTCTCCAAGGGAATATTTACTGAGTCAGACAGGGAATATTTTCTCCCCCAGATAAATTCAAGCATTTGATAGAACACATGAGAAATCCATTTCCCTTAGCATATCCCTTGCTGAAAATCTAAGTTTTGTTTGCCAAAAACTGTAGAGAACTAGAGGATTTTGTTTTAGTGAAGAGAAAGCCGTTTCTGTTGATTTTTTGCTTGAGGCGAGTGTGAGGAGGGGCTGCATATGTGTGTGTGTGTGTTTGTGTCTGCATGTACACTTGTGTGTATGAGACAGAAAGAAAAACGCAGGTATGATTTTATGATCTCCTACATTTATTTATCAGTTCTGTATATTTCCACCTGCTCTGTTATATTTGACCGTTGTAGGCAATTCAATGCTCAAAGGTGCCCCAACCTTAGAGCAGAGCACCTGTAGTTCATGGTGTGTCCCTCAGCTGCTGGTCCCATCCCCCCCCCAAGCCCATTGCACCCCCTTTTCGCCCAGCCGGGGGGCTGAGATGTTCAAGTTAACCCAGGACAGCACACGGAGACGGAGGTCCAGCTGGAACAGAGTCTGTTTTCACCAGAATTTAGTCCTTTGTCCCCAGCGTTCGCTTCTGGCCATGCCTTTACTGAAGCAGGACATGCATACGTTTGCTCTTTGGTTTTTGATACGTTCTTGACAACCCCCCACCCAGAATTCAGGATCGGTATTAAATGCTGGCAAGCTGCAGATTTTCTTTTAATTAAATATGACCATTTGGGGATTGTCAGGCTGAAAAAGGAATTTTTAATGGGTCATAATTCTTAGCTTATACTTTTGAAAATTCAATAATTTCAAATTCATAATTGAGTTTTAAATTCAGACAGTGACCATAAATACCACCCTTCAGCCTGAAGCAGACGGGAGTTTTCCAGCCAAGTAATAAACCATTGGAAATAAGAGCCAGTTTGGCATTACTTCATCCTATCTCTGCATTTATACAACAGACTGAAAGGAGATGCTTTGCATTATGATAACAGTTCTTGAAAATTTTCTTAACTCCCCTTTATTTTTAATCCTTCATATTGAACACAGAGTACTGTATTCAACTCATTATTACTTGTGTTCAATTGTAACAAATCCATGAATCTAAGCTATGGCAGAGCTTTGCTTTTTTTTTTTTTTTTAATTTGCCACTTTACAAACCGGAATCTTCGTTTTTTGAAGAGACATTTCTCTGCTTATAAATACTGCCACTATTAGCATATATGCAAGCATAAACGCAAGCAGAACATTCGAAGCAGCTCAATTTTGAAAGCACAGATTTAGGGCTTGATCTAAAGAATATGCTGTCATTTCATTTCGTTTTGAAGTTATTTAACTCTGTTTTTTCAAACCCATTCTCCTCTCAAAAAGAGAAAAAAAACCCAGTGAGTTTTGAGTGGAAACATTTTGAGATGTTAATGAAGGTTTTTAACCTTTCTGAATTTCATCTTGCTCCTTCCTTTTGGTCAAAAATGTTTACTGAATTTGATCTGAATTTGCCAAAAAAAAAAAAAAAAGTTTTGGTCATCTTGAAAAACTTTTTGTTTGTTTTTGGATCACCTTTTTTTTTGCACTTACTGACAGAAAAAAAACCCCAAAACCAAATTAAGTATGTTCAACTCTACTCAGCAGACCCTGGATTCTGCTCATGAGGCAGGTAAGTCCTTTTAGCTCTCAATACCTCCAATTCACCATCTTCAGAATGTGGGACATACACTGATACCCTCTGTAGATAATTTCTGAGCTATTGGTGGAAATTGCTATAGAAGAACACGATAGTAGCAGTATTGTTCTATAGCACCCACAGAAATTAATATATGCATGAATAGGCATTTTTTATTTTGTTCTGGTAATTATGGTTTAACTGTCTATCTAATCTGCATACTCTAAAGGATTAATTTTGCTCTCCATCTCCTTTCTCTCCTAGCTTTGTTTAACCTCATACCTGTGGGTTTACGAGTGGTGGCGATTCAGGGGGTTCAAACAAAATTGTATCTGGCAATGAACAGTGAAGGATACCTATATACATCAGTAAGTAAACATTTTTAATTTTGTTCTCACTGAAATTATCGTAAGAACTTAGTAAATGAATAATTTACTGTTCCAAGGAATCTGCTTATAATCTATAGGCATGAGATTTGACAGCAAATTCAGTGTCGTGGTGATAGTCTGGTTTTAGCTTATTACTCTGTTTCCATTATGAATATATATGGATGCATGGAATCAAACTGTGGTGCCTTTGATGCAAACCAGTGATCCCAAAGTGTGAAATAAAAAACCCCAACAAACTACAACCAAAACCCCAGACAGAAAGGATGTTTTCTCTTGGTCACTGTGGACTGATTGGGCTAATCAGTGTGGGGTGCGGAGGGAAAGGGACGACTTTGTGAATCACAAGCATGCCTGAACACATTTTGTATCTTCCCATTTAATCTCTATTACTGTTATTAAAAGGGATTAGAGGAAGTAATTTTTTTTGTTGTTTGGCCAGGATTTTCAAATTGAAATGGAATTAGGTGCCAAAATCTTATGGCTTCAAGTTGCTGAGTAACTAAAGAAATGTTTTACTAGCAGTTTTGATGAAGAATGTCAGTTAATAATTTTCAGTGGCATTTCTCAAGAGAGCAAACAGTGTTTTTATGAAAAAAAGAAAAAAGGACATTTTTAAAAATAGACAATTTTTCAATTAAAAACATTTAGTTGAACTGTGTTCAGGAGTTTTAATTATAAAGTCTTAGTAGATTTTTCCCAAGGAGGAAAATGGAAGAAAATGTAATTTATTATCTGCTACAAATTATTCTCTTCTATGAATGATTCCCTGAAGGTGCCTCTAATACTGATAACAATTAAGTAAACTTACTCAAATCTCTCATTTGTTTTGCAATCCTGACAGCCGGGACAAGGGGCAGCTTTGCATGTTTTTCCTCTTGTATCTGCCAGAGCAAAAGCAAATTAGAACTGGTTATGCCGTGGGACAAAATAAAATTTCAGTGAACAGCATCGAACTCTGCTTTTCTTTTTACTCTGGCTATTTGCTTAGTGCGGTTAATCCACAGATCTGTTTGCAGGGCTGTAGCCACACAGCCAGATCGTGCAAAGTCCCCTTAATCCCGTGTAGTCACGGTCCTGAGGCTGCACAGTGTCATTTACGTTTGCACTGCAAATGTACCTCTGGCTGCACCGTGGTTTTCATTGACATTAGCATCCTCAGCTGCACTCCTTTTTGGCTGCCCACTCGCCGAGAGAGCGCTGTGCCGTGCCGGCTTCTGCAGGCTCAATTCCGCCTCGGGGAGCGTTACCTTGAGTCACGTCTCCGGGTGGGATAGCGAGGTTTGTACAGGAAGCAAAATTCCATCACCGTGCGCAGCGAGTGTGCTTGGTTTGGGTAGGTCAGTTCTTTCATTGCATACATTCTGGAAGAATCAGGTATGTTTTTGCAAAGATGCAGAAAATGGGATGGGAACAGATTCTGCCACTGTTAACCTACAACGGAGCACTAACTTCTCATTGTGAGACATAACCCTGAAGTCAGAGGGACCACTGAGAGAACAAAGGATCACTTCTAGTATCCCTCGATGTGAGGAGGAGGAGCAGAATATGACCCTTATTTAGATTAAGCCCAGCTTTTGGTTTGATGGGTATCTAGGCATCTTAGGCAGAGCTCAGAGATTTACTTTGGTTCTAATTTTTGGTATTTGCATTGATTAGGGATAGTTCTTCATGTGGTCTTATATGTTAGCATGAATAGTGTTCCTTGAATCCTTTAGTATCCGTGACTTTAATAGTTTATGCCATTGCAAAATTAACTGGTGACATCCCTCTATTTTCCCCTTAGTAACAACGGTCGTTTTTGTTTCTTTATTAGGCAGCTATATTTTCTTACATTTATTCTTTTATTCTTCTTGAACCTGATGGGCTTGGCAAAGCCTTAAACAGACTTCAGTCGTGTTGTTGTGTCCCAAATTCATATTTTTAAATACTTTTCACAAAGATGGGTGTCCATTTAATGTTGATCTACTTTTCCTAAGCAAGTTTCCATCTAAGTCCTCAATAATCTTGGGTTTATCACCTGCTGCTTTCTGGTTTGGTTGCTTTGTCCTTTACAATAATTGCAAGAAACTGTCTTGGCAGGCAAAACCCAGCTCATGTCTCTGTCAGTGCACCCAGGGAATGGACAAGTGCTGGTGAGGAGCATCTATCTGCCCCTACTTCACCTGCTATGCAAAAAAAGGTTGCCAGAATTGCAGTTCCAGCACCATTTTTTAAGTGTTTCTAGCACTTCTTTTGCTGATAATGGTACTTTCAGCAAGAGATAGTCTGATGCATGGGAAATTAGCTCTATATTTTGGGCTGGGTTCTTGGTTGATGTAAATGAGTCCCAAGAGAGCTCAGCTGATTTATACCAGCTGAACACTCACCTGTTCAAAGGATGCCAACAGGGAGTCCAGGGAACAGATCAGCTCAAATAAATGACATCCATCTCCACATCCTGAGGGTTTCTAAGCCCTTACAGAGATGTGTTCCTGAATGGGATTTGTCAGGAGCAGACAGATGGCAACATGGGATTGATCAGGAGGAAAAGCCCCACAAAACACTGTCAAATTCCTGAAGCAAAAATATAGGGAAAACCAGAAATGTACTTAAATTGTCGATAACTATAACAGATAGTTGCACCATTTCCAGAGAGAAATGAAATTAGTATTGATGATGCAATGTAATAGGGAGGGAGAATATTGTGGTCTATGTCATGATCGCTTGCTTTTGGTTTTATTGCAACTCTAGGGCTTCGGTCATGCTTGTGTCTGTGCAGAACTGTTTACTTCAGATTGCACTGCCGAAGGTTATAGATTCGTTCGGTAAATGGTTTGAAAAACACCCTGCTAACGTGCCATCCCTGTTCCTCACCCCGTGCTACTGTCTGTGTCTTGCACCTGATAGCGCCTTTTAGCCTGAAACGCTTCCAAAACACTGCGCCTGATAAAGAGGCCATTAAGTCCACAGCAATTACCCCACCGGTAAATAGGTAAATAAGACATCTGGCTTACGGGAGGATAAATGGAGGCTCAGCTAAGTGCTTTCCCACACTCGCACAGGAAAGCACATTAGGGGTAACACACCAGGTGTCCCATTTCCATGTATCTTGCACTAAACTGCAGTATTAAATTGCAGTTCCTTTTCGTTTCAGTGACTGCGGTGAATTCTCATATTTTGTTCCTTAGGCTATATTTTTTAGGTTTGGGCTGTGCAGCAACAAAATTGACTTAGTTGATTCTGAGCGTCCTCCATATGTAGAAAACATGTCCTAGCCGCAATCCATTACAGTTGTTGGCAGATGGAGAATATCTGCAGATCCAGTTTGCTAATTTGTTGAGCTCTGGCTTTGGCCTTGCCTCATTCTCCCTAGCAGTCTGCCAGGATGGGGATTCAGGTATCTGACCTCAGAAGTAGTCTGCAGTGTGGTTTGCTTCTGATCCAGTGACTGTACACAAGAATGAGGTGAATTTGCTCCATGAGGGGATCAGTGATGTATAATAAATCTGCAGAGAATAGATATCTGTAGTTGACTGCCAGAGTTTATAGATAGTTTGCGACGTCTGTCAGTTAGAGCAAAAATAAGATCTTTAATGTAATGATAAAAGTTCCTCAGGGACAAGGCAGCAACTCAGCTAAGCAAAAAACCAGATATTATGTTAAAATAAATATATAATTATCTACATTTGCTATAGAAGCACATTAAAAGTCCTGGACTGCAGAGAAGGGAAGCGACCTTGGTCCTCCCCGCAGCCTGCCATGCTGCCACTGCTCGCCCCGCTCTGAGCAGCAGTGCCTCCTCTCCGCACCAGCTGGAAAATGCCTCTTCGTATCCCAGAACACCACCACATTTGAAATGTTTTTTTTTCTGTAGCTGGTTTCCTACCAAAGTCTATGGGAGTTGTGTGACTGCACCTCCCAAGCCGAACCCACCCTCACAATTTTATTTGGAGGGACCTTGTCGGGAGCTATTTGAAGCCATAGCTCTTCCTGCTGTTTGATGCTTGAGCATCCATTTAAAATGAAAACACAGGGCTTGATTCATCCCTTCTTACACCGGTGTCATGCTGCTGCAAGATGACTTAAACAGTGTTATGGTACTGCTGTCTTACGTAACCACAAAATGAATCATGCCCTTTTGTATTTTAGGATGGCTTTTATTTTCTCTTATTTTTCTTTCTATGAATGACCACGTCTTTCAGATGACCACCATATGTGCTACACTTGAGCTTTTCAGGTTTCACACCCTATGAATTCCTTGTGTTCTTTCATTGTCTTGAACAAAAGAGTGAAAAATATTTTAAGGATCTCTGTGTCAGACAGGTAGTCCTAGAGCTATTGCTTTCTCATTGAAGTGATTGTGATGTGACAGAGGAGGCTCACAGTGATACAGAGCAGCAGCTGAGTGAAGTTCATTAGAGGGAAGGCATGTATGTAGGTGAAGAGAATTAGGTGTACCGCTTGAATTCTGCATAGGCTGAAACATAACCCAAAATACAGCAAATTTTAAAAAATAGCCTGAGAACATCTAGCCATGTATTTTCCATGAACCATCATGTCAGAGTTTTTAAAATCATTTAATGATTGTCAGTGAAATGCATATTTCTCCTATAGAACATTTCAGCTCATGTAATTGTGTGCTTGTCTAGCCTGGACACATTGTCAGAAACAATAAAATTAAATATGTGCTGCTCGTTGCATCCTTCTGGCCGGTCTCAGGAGCCATGCAACTCAGCTTGTAAAGGATGTTTGTTTTCCATCTTGTCTTGTTCTGGGTTCCTGTGCTTTGCCAAAGCATTTGATTTAATAGCATCATATCTGAGCAAGCTCACAGCTTCCCCCAGGTTGGATAGAGTCCTTGTCTAAGAGTAGTCCTTTGCCCTGACCATGTGTGATAGGGCCCAGTCTGTCCCTCCTTTCTGCAGCCTTTCAACTCATTTATTGGAAATTCAGGGCATTCAGCCTTTTGTAGGATGGGTATTAGGAAGTATGCTACATGG